TTTTTTGTAAGTTGTGAGAGATGTATTTGTAAAGGTGAATGGGAGAGATGGAGCAGAGAAAGAGAGGCTGAAGATACAGAACAGAGAGAAGTATGGGTAGTTAAGATTCCTGGAAGACAAGAGGCCATGGAACTGAGAACAGAAGGACATCTCCCCTAGTCTAACAGGGGGAAGGACAGACACAAATGCAGGCCTTCCTGCCTGCTTGCTTGCTTTCCTTCTTTCTTTCTTTCTTTTCATTCTTTCTTTTTCTTTCCCTTCCTTTCCTTCCTTCCTCCCTTCCTTCCCTCCCTCCCTCCCTCCCTCCCTCCCTCCCTCCCTTCCTTCCTTCCTTCCTTCCTTTCCTTCCTTTCTTTTTTTTGAGAGAGAGTTTTGCTCTTCTTGCTCAGGCTGGAGTGCAATGGCATGATCTCGACTTACTGCAACCCCTGCCTCCCAGGTTCAAGTGATTTTTCTGCCTCAGCCCCCCGAGTAACTGAGATTACAGGCATGCACCGCCAATCCAGTTTAGTTTTTTATTTTTAGTAGAGACAGGGTTTCTCCATGTTGGTCAGGCTGGTCTCGAACTCCTGACCTCAGGTGATCCACCTGCCTCAGCCTCTCAAAGTGCTGGGATTATAGGCATGAGCCACTGCGCCTGGCCAGGTTTTAGGTTTCATGGCAGAAGTTTTGGGGTTTTATGTCTGAACTACATCCTAAGAAAAATAAATAGAAAAAGGGTCGAATACTGAGTGTGAAGGGGGAGTTGAGAAGGGAAGTAACAGTCTTGAAGGTTGAGTAGAGTAGAAAAGGCTTAAAATGGTAATTGAGAATGACTTGGCCAGAGGAAAATGGGAGAACTGGAGCAATGTTAAGGGCCCATTTGAGACTGGAACTCATAAATTTAAAGTACAAATTTGCCCTATTAAGTGATTTTCTCTTGAGGCATAGGAACAGGGGCAGGAACAGAGGAAGACAGGGGAAGGGGAGTAAGGAAAGGGAAGAAATAAGGTGCAGACTTTCCAATTACAATATCTAAAAATGGGGTGGAGAAAGCTGCACTGAAATGAATAGTGGCATTTGCACAAAGACTTGAAGGAGAAGGGGGCAAGCCATGTGTATAACCTGAATTCCAAACTAGGTACTAGGTAAAGACAGTAAGATAAAGGACGATTACAAGTCAGTCTCAGTCACGAAAATGGACACAAAATGCTGAATAAACCTTGTGCTTAAAGACTTAACCCATCATGATCAACTCAGGCTTAATAACAGAAATAAAATTTCAGTTTAACATTAGAAAAAATATGCAAATCTTATTTACCACTTTAACAAAGGAAAAAATTCATATGATCATTTCGATAGCTATAGTGTGATAACCTGCTTTTTGCCAGCTAAAACTCTTTCTCAGACTAAAAGCTGTTCAGGCTTTATGTTAGCTTCCTGAGCCGGATAGACTCCATCTTAGCTTCATTTTAGTTATTTTCCCACCATTAAGTATGTAACTATAGTATGTAGCTGGGGGCAGGCTGACACTGGGTACCTCCAGGAATGCATTTGTTGATAAGAGGCCAAGTTAAGTGGTACCCACAGAGCCTGGGAATGCAGGTGCTGTCGAGTGCCCAGAGCCCCTGTTATCTATAAGTTGTATGTCTTTCATAACAGCTTTACCCCTTGCACCTGGCACTGTTTTATTTCTCATGTACTAGTTTATCTTTTAACTTTTTGCTTACTCTGCTTTTGTGAAAAATTTGCTTCAGTTAGGTTCCCCTCCCTTTTAAAACTAGAGTATAAAAGACCACCTAACTTTTTCTTAGGGGCCAAGAGAATTTGGGGCGTTAGCCACCTCTCTGTCACCGGCATAAGAAAGGACTCATAATTCAATCTCAGAGTGTGGCAAATTCCTTGACTCACTCAGGTACAACAATAGAAAAGACTCTAATCATTGCAACACTCGTTCATGATTTAAAACAAGACAAAAACAAGAAAGGAATGAACAGACTTAGCAAACTAAGAGTTTAGAATTGAAGATAAATTTTCAAAAAGGGCAACTACCAAAAAGCTACATACAGTATCATTGTTATTAATAGAAACTTTAGAAGGATGCCCTTTAAGATAGGAAAGAAGACAAGAATGTCTGTATCAGTGCCTCTATTCATCTTTGTACTAAAGATCCCAGTCAGTGCATTCAGAAAAGGAAAAAAAAACTAAGGAGTGAAAAGGAAAAAACAAAATGTCATTATTCACAGATGATATGATTATAAAATCCTAGATTCTACTAAATTATTAGGAGTAATGAGTATAACAAGCTACTAAATATAAGAATATCAGAAAGCAATTACATTTTTACATATCAGTGGCAATTAGAATAGCAACAAAATATGTTATTTATAAATATCTAATAAAACGTGTAAAACTTACATAGATAAAAAGATTAATTGAATGATATTAAATACATTCTAAATAAATTGAAAATATACTATGTTCAAGAATAGGAAGACTTAGTTCTCTTTAAATTGATTTATAAATTCTATGAAATTCCAGTACAAATCCAGCAAGTTTCTTTTAATGGATGTTGGAAGAGCGATTCTAAAATTACTTAAGAAGCAAAAGTTCAAGAATATACAGGATACTTATGAAGAAAAAATAAGGTCTTATATTTGTCCTATAGATACCAAACGTTTAATAAAGCCGGAGTGATGAAAACTGGTTGTGGCACAGAGGTAGGCAAACTAACTAGTGGAACAGGCTAGGAAGCTGACTTAAGAACATATGAAAACTTGACATATGACGTAGGTGATCTAGGGAGAGCACACACTTTTCAATAAATGATCATAAAACAGTTGGTTTCCACATGGGGGGAAAAGTAATTGGATCCCATCTGACACCATGCACAAAAATCAATTTAGAGGAATGAAGTCTTAAAAATGAAAAATAAAACCTTAAAACTTTTACAGAAACTATAGGGGAATATTTTTATGACTTCAGAGTAATGATACATTTCTTTGAAAAGACACAGAAAAACAAACCATAAATATTAATACCCAGCATATATAAAGGCCTACGAAAGAATAAGAAACTTGTGTGGGGCGCGGTGGCTCACTCCTTAATCCCAGCACTTTGGGAGGCTGAGGTGGGAGGATCACTTGAGGTCAGGAGTTCAAGACCAGCCTAAGCCTACATGGTGAAGCCCCATCTCAAAATTAGCTGGGCATTGTGGGGCAGGCGGGGGTGGGGGGGGACGGTGGCATCTGTAATCCTAGCTACTCAGGAGGCTGAAGCAGGAGAATTGCTTGAACCTGGGAGGCGGAGGTTGCAGTGAGCCAAGATTGCACCACTGTATTCCAACCTGGGTGACAGAGCAAGACTCCATCTCAAAAAAAA